CAAAGAATAAATAGATATACTCCCTCCGATCCCTTCAAAAATTATTTCCTATTCATTATATCCACTATCTAGAAAGTCAAATTTTATTTGCTTCATTGACCTGTTTTCGTTCCCTGTTTGATACTCTCTCCTTTCCAATTTAAATTGTATGTTCTGTTTACGATGTTTGATTGAAATATATTTTTAAATCATTTTATACAAAAAACGATATAGAATTAACAAATAAAAATTACATACTCGTAGTATTTAAAATCTGCGACATTAAAAAATCTACAAAACTAGTAGTGATATGATTACATTATTTTATCAAATGTCTAATGAAAATAAAGAAAAAATTGAATGAAGTTTGACCATGTGAATAGGAAACAGACAATTTAATTTAGGGCGTAGGTAGTAAAATTATAGTCATAACAATTCTAATTTTATATTTTTTGATGTACTTTTTATATATATAATTCTTATTTTTAATTTCACACCATATTTCATATATAAAATTATTTGAAAAATAAATTCAATTCAATTTTATAAAATGCAACGAAAAGATAATTTTGGGACAAAATATTTAACACCCAGTACTGTGGTGCGAATCCCGGGACCACCACAACCCCATCATTTTGGGGCTGTTTGGCAACTTCTGAATCGGTAAGTGCTGAACCAGTAAGAGGTCTGAACCATTAAGTGCTGAACCAGTAAGAGGTCTGAACCATTAAGTGCTAGTATATTGCTTAACTATTCAGAGGCAAATGTTTGATCAATTCAGATAAGAGGTCTTAACCATTCAGACTCTGTATAATACTTAATCATTCAGAGGTAAATCTCTTAACCATTCAGACATCTGAATCATTAAGAGGCTGAAACAAACAGTCTGAACCATTAAATGCTGAACAATTCAGACATCTGAACCATTAAGAGGCTGAAACAAACAACCCCTTTGTCTTTATGCATCATTTTTCAAATGGGCCGAAATGCCAAATGCCCATCCACTGTCCAACAGTCCAACTCACGAAGTCACAAGTGTCGTGGTCTTTGTCGGTCTTCACTCCCTCTTCTTGCTACAGAAGGAACCACACGCCACCAATAAATAATACTCTCTCTCCTACTCCCTCCGTCCCTAAATATTCACAACATTTGCTTTTTTCAACAGTCGCGGGAACTTTTGTTTATTTCGACGTTTTCATTGTTTATTTGATAAAATAAAATATTCTTGATACCTCTTATTTCGAAGAACTTTTCATTTACTTTTTTTATATGTAAATTTTATATTTTATTTCTTTACCAATATGTAAATAAAATGAATTGAAAAAACTTGATATTTTGCACCGGGAATACAAATGTGTCAAATAATTTGGGACGGAGGAAGTAATTTATAGTGCCTATTTCGATTTATGAATGTGAATGAAGTTTGACCCTATGAAGAAGTAGAGGGAAAGACCAAAGTAGGACTAAAACATTGAAAATATACCAAAATAGAATTTCTATGTTTTTATTCCCGAAATATATAGGACTTACATTAACATACATGGTCATATACATTACCAAAAAAGTATAGTAATTTACACATGTACACTTCCACATCACAAGAGGGCAAAGTCACATTAGTACAGTGCAAGGTCCTATTTCGGAGAAAAAACATGAAAGTCCTATTTTAGTACTTTTCTCTATGTTTTAGTCCTATTTGGGGTGATTTCTAGAGGAAGTACTATCTCGACCGTCTCATAAAATTTTTTATGTTTTGACTTTTAGTCTTATTTAAGCCGATTTCTATTTTGGTAATGTATATGCTCATGATTGACATTGTAAATGTATTTTAACTCTTATTTCCAGAATAAAAACATGGAACTCTTAATTTATTATATTTTCAATATATATTTTATTCCTACTTAATTTTTTTTTTGTACTAACGAATTTAATTAAAAGTGGAAATAGTTTTTAGGACTAATGAAGATTGAAAGTGAAAAGGTTTTTTTAGACGCAAGGAACATTTTCTTCATGATTCAATTTACCGGACTTGATTTCAATTATTTTCAATCCAAATTATTTTATTTTTAGGTTAAAATCTTAAAATAAATCTTCTATGTTCAGTGTAAAATCTAAAAGTAAATGTTCTACATTCTCCATTCCAATTTGTTTGTCTACTTTAACTTTTTTAGTCAAACAAAATGATTCCTGAGTTCCAATTAAACAAAAATTGTACTCCGTAATATATATTAGTATAATAATGATTTTATTAGATAAATCTTGTAGAGATGATTTTGAAATTATATTTTATTGTATTAATGTATATTAATGTATAATAGAAATTGAGAGTAATTGAAACTTATTTGGGAGGGACGAGTATGTTCTGAGTTGGTCAATAACAAGTTTTGTTGTTGCAACAAACACCCATCCCTACCGGCCACTTTGACTAGAATTGTTGATAGAATTTAGAATAGAGAAACAGTTACTAGATTTGATCATAGACATTAAATTAAATTATACTTGGTCCGTTTTTGAGTGTTTGTCCACTTTTGACTTTTGGAACTTTTCATCTAAGCACTTTGACTTTCCAAATTCTCTCAATGTGTAAGCCTAAAAATAGTCATGTGTGATCTTGTTTGATTCGTCTTAACATATAGATTAATAATATATAATTTTTATAATTTTTTAATATACAAATTACAAGATAAAATGGATTAAAGAAGTGCATTGGATGGTGCGCAAAAATGAAAGGGGACAAACACTCAGGGACGGAGGGAGTATTAAAAGATTGAATTCAATCAATTAAATAATTTAACTTAAAAATTTAAATACCAATTACTTTTCTATTCAATTTTCAATGTGAGATATTTTAATAATTGTTGAAGAGTACTTATATAATATTGGTGAATTTGGTGTAGAATTCAAAATTAATAAGTAAAATTTGCTCCTTCATTATTTAAAATTATATTTTTTTATAATAAAAAAACTTTGTAGGTAATATGACAATTTCATTTTATCTGAAATGAACATATTGTCAAATCATCATATTAATTTCATAAACACTTCAATTAGCATTATTAGCGGTAAAAAGTGTTGTTGGGGAATTGAGTCAAACAATTAACTAAAAACACAAATGTTGTTCAACTTTATACCATTTGCCAATCATGCCACAAGGAACACACTCGCAGGTAGTGACTAAAACTTGTCTATTAGAGCACTGGAAATGGTCATGATACCCCGGGGCTTCAAACCGGGGCTTCAAACTCTCTCTCTGCCACGTCAGCTTTAACTTATACCAAAAATTCACTGGAAATGGTTTTGAAGTCCCGGGGTTTCAAACTGGGGCTTCAAACCTTCATTTTTTACATTTTTAAATATACATCTTCTAAATTTAAATTAATAAATTTAAATAAATTTATTATTTTAATTAATCGCAATGATACTAGTGCATTAAAAAAATTACATTCATTAAAATAAATCTTACATTCAAAAAAAACATTCATAAAAAAATACATTCATTAAAAAAAATATTACATAAAAAACAACAGTACAAAGAAATCACTAATTATTCGAACGACTAAAGATATGCTCGATCAAATCCGCCGTTAGCCCCGGAGCTTCAAACCTTCGTTTTTACATTTTAAATACACATCTTCTAAAATTAAATTAATTAAATTTAAATATTTAATTATTTAAAAGAATTGAAACAAGAATAGTTCATTAAAAAATTGTATTCATTACAAAAAATTACATTCATTAAATAAAAAAATTACATTCATTAAATAAAAAAAATTACATTCATTATATAAAAAAATTACATTTATTAAATAAAAAATTACATTCATGAAAAAATAAAAAAATAGTTGAATAATAATTTTTTAAAAAAAGACGATAGAGAAATTTGTATTTGTGTTGAATTTTTAAAAAAAAATTAATTTAATTTATAGAGAAGAAAAGAGGAAAAAAGAAGGAGAAAAAGCAAGGAAGAGGCGTTATCACGCCTCCAAATTGCGTCAAAACTATGATGCGGGAGTTTTAACGCCCGGATAACGGGGGAGGGGGGCGGTGTTTCACGCCCCCAGGCGTCAAAACTCGCCTAACGCCCCTTGGCGTTACCAGTATTTCCACTGCTCTTAGACATCTTGTTTTGAGATCAAAAGGTTAGGATTAGGGGTGGACACGGTACCGGTGCGGTACCGTCACCAGAAACGGTACCGCCGGCACCGAGCACCGTAGCGTGCACCGGGACGGCGAAACGGTTCCGAGAACCGGCACCGGTACCGCCATATCCGGTCTCGGTTCCGGTGCCCCAAATTCGTTACCGGCACCGCCGGTACCGGTTAATTTTTTTTTTTCCTTTTTTGNGGGGGGGTTAAATGGTTTTATAAATACCAAATTTTTCTTCTAAAAAAATCACACTCAACTCAATCCATCTCTCATTCTCTCAATTCTCAAATCTCAATCTCTTAATCTATCATTCATTCATTCAATCATTCTTAACAATCTCTCAAATCTCAAATTTTAATTTCTCAATCTTAATATCTTATAATCTCTTTTATACATTCTTTTTTAAATATATTATATTTTAATATATAAAATTTTGAGATTATTTGAAATTTTCGAAATTTAATATTTCTTTAATACCAAAAAATATATAATTTATATTTTAAATATATTCTCTATTTTTTTTTGAAATTTTCGAAATTTTAATATATAAAATTTCGAATTTTTTTAAATTTTCGAAATTTAATATATTATTTTTTTATATCAAAAAATATATATATTAAAATGTCAAAAGAGTCCGGTAGAAGGTCCGTGGATATGGGCGCCGTGAACCGAAGTTTGAGGAGAGGCAAAGCTAAATCCACCTCCGACGGTTCGACCTCACGCGGTTCTCGAGGAAGACACTCCGTCTCTTCCTTTCCTACTATCCCCGACCACTTAATCGGGGACGCTATGGCGGATGAAGAATTCGACCAGATTTATTCTGGTAGAGGGGACGCAAATCTCCCCACTCTTGATAGTCTATTCGAAGATCTTGATGAAGCTGGACTGGATAATCTAGACGGGGACGAGGAGCCTACACCGCAGAGCAACGACGTCGACGTGGAGGCAGGTGAGCCCGAGACCTCTCGAGGTCCGGACAAAGGTAAAAAAAATATAAATCAGATTTATTTGTTTATCATTTTGACAAAGAAACAAAAGATAGCGTAGTTTATGGAACTTGTAAACATTGTGGGACCGTCATAAAAATGGGAGTTTCCGGTGGTTATGGCGGTCCGGAAAAACACCTAAGGTCGAGGCATCCCGTGGAGTATGCTAAATACGAGGCAAAAAAGAAGGGACGACAAGAAGTGCAAACCCAAATTTCTCGGTTTGCAAACAGAGGTAAGGGCGGCCTTTTTGCTCATAGCGACGAGCAAAATAAGCAAAAAATGGCCGAAGTGATTTGTGAAGAAAATTTGTCATACATGTTTTCTGAAAAACTTGGATTTATTGATTATTGTCAACATGCATTAAACCCTCAAGCACGAGGTTTTTCAAGAAAAACAATTAAACGAGAAATTATTCGTCAGTATAAAAGTGGAAAAATAAATTTGGCAAATTTTTTTCACAATTTTAATTCTCGTGTTGCTATTTGTTCTGATATTTGGAGTGAAACTTATCATAATTTGTCTTATATGGGTGTTACTTGTCATTGGATAGATAGTGATTGGATTATGCATAAACGTGTTCTTGCATTTCGTGATTTCAATGATCAGCATAATGCTGAAAATATTTTTCTATTGATTCAGAGTATTCTGCGGGAATACAACTTATCTGAAAAAGTGTTTTCATTTGGTTTTGATAATGCTACTAATAATACTGCAG